TTTAGCTGCATCTAAATCTAACAAGTAGAGCTTGTTCTGCTGCTGTACTCAAATCAGTCCAGATGAGAGCACAAGTTAAATTCACCGTATTTAAATGTGTGATATCATATGTTAAAGTTGGGCCATGAAAAAAATAAAAGGATAATGTTCAGGTCAGCAGTTTCAGCAAATGATGCTAATACATGTAGAACATTTCCATCATAACCATCAGCTGTGGAGGCAGAGTTCAATTTCTTTCTGTCATTTGGCAATATTAAAATGAAGTTAACCAGAATATCATCCAATGATTATCACACAAAATTTAATAATATCACCACAAGTTGGGTTCACTTGCCTGCAGGCGATGTATTTGCAAGAAAGTACTTTATTTCCAAATGCATCTTATTCCAGAGGAAAAAATCTTTTAATTACACTTCATATGATTTTTGCATGACTCAATTTTCCAACACTCAACGCGACAAATTTGACAGCCTGAAATTAACGCTGCAAATATTTAGGCTCTGTGTGCATGTGTGTGATTTGGTGTCAGTCATTATTATGCAGAACACTGATGCTGAGGTCTCTGCCTCTAATCAACAATTACAGCTCAGGTTGGGTTTGTGGGTTTTTTTTTTTTTTAAGTTGAAACCATCTTTGTATTTTGCTCGCGCTTCCTTATCACTCCTCGCTTTTTTCATTTTTTTCTTCTACATTGTTTGAATCACATTTATTTCTTTCCATTCAAGGTGAACGAGTGCACGAAAATGTCTCACAAAACACTTCTATTAAAAAAAAAGGCTCTTTAGGTATACAGCACATAACTTAAACGTAATCAAACGCAGACATATAGCTCAACCCCCACAGCATGCACACACGTGCCGCAATCTCCATAAATTAGGATTGTCAGTGTGTGCGAGGGTGTAATAACTGACACCTGGTAATGAGCACGCCGTTCTCAGCCAACCAGAGAAGAGGCAAAGGGGTTGAGGTAAGAAGTGTGGGGGTGGCAGAGGTCACAGGTCAGAGGTCAAGGTCACCTCCTGCGGGGTTTGGCTTTAGATGGCTGGGGCAACCCTAAATTGAGGGATGTGGTGACACAGGGGGGACACGGGGGGACCCCAACAGGGAATTGGCGTGTGTCGCGGCCAGCTGGGGTGACGATATTATATAAAGGAATATTCATGCTCATTTAATTGTCAGAAAGTAACTGCCACCAGCGTGACTCGGCAGATGGAAGACAGCTTGATTTATGTGTATTTTGTGATCTGACCTTATCCGTGCCTGTGTGTATGTGTGATAAGCCATTGTTGGTTTCTATGTGATAAGCTATTTCTGTAGCTTAAGAGAAGCAATGACGACACAATGCAGCTGATAAAATAAAAAGAAAAGCTCATATGAATAAAAATGGCCACCTTGGCTGATTTTTGAATCTCACCCACCTATTTCATAGACCTTTTCTGCCGTGTGACGTCTACATACAAGGGTGAGCATGCATGTACGTGCAGACGTTAGCAAATGAGGACAGCCGCCTCGGCCATCTTAGCTGTGCATTTGTGTTTTTGTATCTATCGCTGTTCACTGACGCAGCATCAGCAGCCCACACCATAAATACTGCATGGCCTCAAAAAATAGAGAGGATGGAGGGAACGAGGGAGAGAGGAAGGAAAGGAAAGGAGAGGAAAACAGATGAGGAGGAAACAAAGAGGAGGGGAAAAGCCTCAGTTGTTAAGAAGAAGGGCGGCGGATTGGAGGGGGGTGGGGGGGGGGGACAGAGGAAGAGAGGGGGGAACGGGGGGGGGGGGGGGGGGGGGGGGGGGGGGGGGGGGGGGGGGGGGGTTTAGGATGAGGAGCAGGGAAGAGAGAGTGACTAAGAGATAAAAGTGGAGTGAGTGGATGCGAGTGTGTTTGTGTGATGAGCGGATGGCCTCGGGGAGCGGTCGACTCACTGCGCTGCTCTGCGGATGTGCTGACGGGCTCCGGGCCGTTTGCTCACTCACTCGCCCCTCCGCTCTGCTCGCTGCAAAGAGGACAGGGGTGGGGGGGGTGCAGGTGAGACGGGTGAGGGGAGGAGGGGAGGAGAGCAGGAAGCTGGGAAAGAATGTGGAAGAATGGATGGGGGGGGGAACTGAAAGGTGGAGGAGAAAAAGAGGCGTAAGAAATCACAGTAACAGAGAGAAGAGGAACGGAGGTGACCTTATGTTTGAATAAGTTAAGGAGCAATAAAGGGTGGTGGCACGGCTGTGGGAGAAGAAGTGGAGTAAAATAGAGGGATGACTTGACAGGTTGGCAGGGTGAAGAAGAGCCGCTACCTTCCGCTGGGAGTTAAGGGGACGGAGGATACAGGGAGTGATGCGGGGCCTACGCTCTGTAACAAGGAAGTATCCAATAAGTGACATGCCATCGGTGCAGCTGTGTGCACCCTTCTGCATGCACAGTGCGTGTGTGTGCGAGTTGTGCCTATTCACATGCACGCACAAATGGAGTAAAGCTGCCTATGAGTAGGCATAATGAGCACTTGTGCATAATGTGAAGTGAACAGTATGCTCGTGTATGGAAATGTGTGCGCAATTGATCCGCAGTGTGTGAAAGAACAGCACGACGTGTTTGCATCTCACCAGTGATCATTAGAAATGCATCAAAATCATGTTTTCAAGCGGCACCATGAAACGGAGCTGCTGCTGCTGCCCTCTGACACGCAGATGTCACACCGACTGCTCAGAGTTCATCCATGCTCGAGCGTTTCTGTGCGCACACACACGCACACACACACGAGTGAAGGTATGTTACTGAAGAGTTGCAGACGTAAGAAACTTATAATATGGGAGCGTGTTGAATGGGGGGTCTTTATGCAACATCCCAGGGAAGCCAGCAGATTGAGACTAGTGTTGCTGAATATGGAAAGAGGGCACACAGCAAAGGCTGCTGGGAGTTTCTGATTGGCTGCTAATGTTGCTATCCAGGCTGGGATTGGTGGAGCTGACGCAGCCCGACATCACGTTGTTGGGACTAAACCCTTTTGAACTGAGGCAAAGCAGAGAGGCACAGATCTCAAAACACATACACACACATATGTGCGTGCACACTCTCAGATACACACACGCAAGCATTAAAAGGAAGTATTGCATGCAACTGAATATGCATCTGTATATGATAGTTCCACATGCACTCCAGCACTGTGTGTCTATATAAACCAGGATGGGCTCTGTGTTGATGGCGTCAGGAGGAAACAGAATTCATAATGTTCCTGGGCTCGTCTCCATATGTGATGATCTCTGGTGACTCTGTGCAGTTGAAAGGGAAGCGAGCGAACTTCCTTAATTTCTCCATTCTCTTTTAAGCCCGGCTCTAAGGTGGACAGAATAAATTGGAGCTTAAGCATGCGTGAAGGCACAGCCAGCGGGCCCCTTTCCACCACCCCACGCCACATTTGTCAAGTCAGAGGAATTTCTGCTACACGTGAACCCAGAATCGGAGGAGAGAGGAACGGCAGGGATTCACATTTAAGTCACGCACAAGGAGTTACACTCCCAGGAAAGAAAAAAAGTATATTTGAGTTTGTGGTTATTTCGGAACATGTCGTCTGGTCTTAACTGTAACAAAAAAAAAACAAACAAGTAGCGGAGTTCATAGTCAATAAGCTACATGCTATTAATAAAACATGAGATGAGACAAGGCAGTGAGTCAGGGGAAATGCATGACTACACTTTTGGCCTCACTGCCTTTGCCCTGTGGCGTGTCGGCTCGACTCTGCCTGTGTGCCTTTGCCCGTAGTAAGACGTGTCCCTGCCCTTGGCTACAGTGAATGGGAGAATCTCCTCTGATGTGAGCTCACACAAGAACCTCAAATAGTTACTTCCGCCTCTGCCTCTTTTTTGTCGACCCACTTTTGGTCGAACAGGTGAAGCGGAACGTGATGAACATATGAACACACACAGCTGATCTGCTTTTTGTGGCAGAAGCACAAAACATGGCGAACGTTTTAGTGCATTTGGGTCACGCAGTGTGTGAGAGAACAACCATGACAGATGCAGAAGAGATGACAGAACTGATGTGGACGTCACTGAATGCGGGTGTGTATGTGAGCTAGTTTTAAGGCTGAAGGTCGGGCCTATGAATCTTTGATCCATCTCTTCCCAACTTGTCATGCTCCTCCCTACATTCGGTATGAGTGAGCAGAGTACCTCTTTGCCTGTCCTTTCCCTCTCAAACACACACACACATGCACACACACACACACACACCCTCCCTGTGCCCTCCCGGTGCATTAATGTTCTTACATCACCTCCTCCAGTGAGCAGAAAAAAAACAAGAGACCTGGAGAGATGGAGAGATGGGTTATGGGGGATGGGGTTCTTGTCACCGCTGGGGGGTTGAGAGACGGGTGGGGAAGAGGCATGTGTCATTAAAGAGGAGAGCCGAGGAGACAGGGATTCAAGTTAAACACATTCGGCACACTGTACAGACTGTGTAAGTGCAGGAATATGGATCAGAACCTGAGTCAAAAAGTATTAGCAGATAACTGGGTTGAATCATTCGAGGGAAATGTTACACCATCGCAGCAAAGTTTCACCACTTTCCCGTGATTAGCAACTTCAGAATTGCCGTCAAGGGATTAAACCCACCCATCAGATGCACTATGCACAATAAAACCTAAATTCACAAACATTATTCAACCCCAAAAAAAGACCGAATTTAGTGTCGTCATTGCATCAGTCAGAGGCTCTTATGTGAAGTGAATGGCAAAAGGCACATGCCATGCACATGCTCTAACACAGAGAGGGGGTTTTCTGCAGTCAGGGCTTGAACATGCACCACACTGGTGCGCCTCTCCATGGATGGCTGGATCTCAGACACATTAACACAGTCTGGCATTGACTTACACCCCTGAGACCCCCCCCCATCACAACACACGCAGGCACACGTCTGGGCATCATCCTTCTGCTCTAATACACCCTGTGACCCTTGGGACGGGTCTTATTTGAGGGCGACTTTTTGGTTTGTGTGTGTGTGTGCAATGCTACCTTGGGTGGGATCGTGGTTTTCCCAAAAGTTTTTGAGCAGCTCCTCAACGCTGAGATCTTTAGGGGAGAAGACCACCCTCACCACCTCAGTGTGACCGGTGAGACCTAAAGGAGAATGACAACTTGGATTAGTCAAATGTAATAAGACGTTAATACGCACAATGCTGCAACATGTTGGACAACTGACGTCTTGTCAAACTGCCCGCTGAGAGATCATGAGCAGCATCTGTGTGTGTTCCACGTAGATGTCATTGAATGCATGTGCCACAGGCAGAAGGGATTCAGGTTGAATCTGCACTTATGGAACATGGGAGAGGAAAAAGAGAGATGCAGAGAAGGCACAGTAAAGGTTAAGGCTTATGGTGAAAGTCGCCAAAAGCACACAGACACTCGCTCCTGTCTGCAGCTGCCAGGACCCCAAAGCTTCAACAAGCTGCCTGCAGGCATTCTCAAACATGGGGGAGGCTTTAGGTCTCACATGCAGGTGCATGTGCACACACACACACACATTCACAGCAGAAAAGGTGTACCCACGTACCTCAACGCAAACATATACCTTTGGCTAAATGTAAATACAGCAGTGTTAGCTTTGGATTGTATCAATAGCAGCCATCCCCCGCTGTCACACATTACACAGACACGTGCACAGGTGTACATACACATACAGCACACACACACACTGTCTCTCTCTCTCTCTCTCTCTCTCTCTCTCTCTCTCTCTCTCACACACACACACACACACAGATAGATGCATCAGGTGCATTGCAGACAATAGGAGAAGGGCTGCCAAATTCATGCGTCTGGCCTGAGACCCACTTTCTGTCTCTAAATGACACTTGGCGCGCCCAGAGGATCATCTCATGCCAAATGAACAGGGAAGACTTCACCTGTTTAAACAGTTGTTACCTAAAATCAAGAATAGGCACATTTTTCAGAGAATCCTAGCAGTCATGACAGTGTCTTTTTTTTTTTTACTATGTACATACTGTCACAAACTGGCTCGAAGAATATGAAGAGAAGGGGGTCCACGCATATTTAAAACAAATTGAATTTATCAAAACTAAGATTGTCCTCGGCAGTGGAAGTCGGCGATGTTAGGCATGTAAGCGATGCATATATGTGTGGCACGTGTGCCGCGGAGGTGTTGAAAAACAAAAAGAGGAGGCTGCAGGGTGGACATCAGGTGTAGGAAGGGAGAGGCAAGAGGAAGCACATGTGCCAGCGTATATAGCCAAAGGCCCAGGTGAGCTGACAACCAATTGTCGCCTTCACAATGCACAGTACACAAACTCTCACCATATGGACAGATTTTGCTGTGGCTACAGCCAGCAGGAAGATGGGTTATAGGAACGGTAGAAAGCAGTGCAAAAGCTGTTCGGTAAAAAATAATATGCACCGCTATGTTCCACGCTTGTCCCATCTGAATGGGGTGAAAGGCTTAGAAGTGACGCCACTAAAGCTGCTAGAGATTCAGTGTTTTTGCTGAAGGACACTTCAGCAGGGTGAACAGCCTTCGGGGTGACGATGGCCTCCCAAATCATCACGACATCATTTTGCCCTTTTTTGTTTAATTGTTCTCTGCTGTTGAAAATAGTTAAACTTCAGGAAGCACCACAGCACTAGCTGCATGTTTAAACACTTAGAATGAGCTGTGTTTATGTTTCCTTACAAGCCTCCTCTGCTGGTTCAGAGAGTAGTTAGGGTCTTCTCTACATAGGAAAGACAGAAGCAGCATGGTTAACGAAACAGGTGACGCTGACAAAGAGGAACGCAGTTGATGCCTGGTCTCGTACCAAAAGGGGACACTGGTGTCTTTCAACCATGAGCACCATATTCATCTAACCCTAACCTACAGCTTTAGTTGCCTAAACTTTGGCAAAGCAGAAAACACTGGACTCATAGCACTGGCATCACATTACCATATCACATGTTACTTAAATAAATATATATTAAATATATCAAAACTTAGAGCATTTATATCTCAAACAGACTCAGACTCACAGTCGGATGGCTCCAGATCATGTACTCAAAAATTTGAACATTTTACTCCACTACTGAAATAACTTAATCGGCTCCTGGAACAATACAGAATCACCTTCAAAATCCTAGTCTTTAATACACACTATAGTTTCAAGTCTGTACATTTCTGACTTGCTCATTGATTATAACCTGAGGTTTTCTAGTTATACTCAGATCCAGCTCTAGTGGGGGTGCCTTCAGTTACTTTGGTCTTGCTGTCTGCTGACTTGAGGTCCAGCTAGGACTGGGTGATATGACCTATACATAGTATCACAATATTTTCAGGCTATATTGCGATACACAATACATATCTCTATATTTTGAAATCTCCTGTAAAATATTGTAGATTACTGAAACGCTAAATTGCTAAATAAGGACTGTTACAGTTAAGTTAAATAAAGTACTGTTATGACTAGAATTACCACCTTGCGGTTGCAGTTACAGTTTACATCCATGTCCGTCCAGAGTCATACGTAGGCATGACAGTTGACAGTGCTTCAAATAGGCTATGGATGTTGCTGCGAAGTTACAATCTCTAAAACATTTATTTCTAACTTGTGGGTCACGGTCCAGAAATGGGTCGCAATTCCATTCTGAATGGCAGAATTTGATTTTAACATGTGTCCAGTTTGTAAAAAAAAAAACTTTTTTAAGTACAGTCAATTTCCGGTACAAAGCTTTTACTTTGAAGTACTGTTTCCTGCTGTTGAGTGAGTAAGTAGCGGACAGATACTTGATATAGACAGCAAACTAGCTCAACGGCATCGCCAAACGCAAGTATGATGCCGAATGTATTAAACTGTGTGGACCTCGAACTAATAACTAAGGAGAAATCTGGACCTTGTGGCCTAAACTGTTGGAAACCACAGTACTAAAACATAAGCTAAAACAATTAGCTTGTGAATTCTGGAGTTATGGCTAAAAACATGTTATATGAGGTCACAGTGACCATGACCTTCGAGCAATGAAATATAATCAGTTCATCCTTGAGTCCATTTTTGCCAGCGCTGTTTTGGAAGGCATTCAGTATGTTTACATGCTATGGTTACAGCTTGACTAGGCCATTTAATATAACTGCTGTCCTTGTCCCAGTGTACAAGCACAGGAGAGGAATCAATTTATTGACCGAAGTATGTCCGACTTAGCTGCGATAGGTGGCGATATGCCCTCTTTCAAGTTGTTAGTATTGGACCTTTTTGTGGTTGACCTACTATGTCACAGACCAAACAGTCCACAAACAATTTAGCTACGGTTAGCTAGCAGCAAACTGGTACTATGGTGGACAACCATGTAGATTTTGCCATGTTGTTACAGGCTTCTTCTTCTGTTACGCATTTAATGCTTTCGACTTCTGGGTCAAAGCCTGGGCCAAACACTGTGGAGCACGCACCAAGTGCATCAGCCAGTTTGGGTCCGACTGACTGTATACATGCATGCAGGAGTAATTGGACTCCCAATTGTGTTATCTGGGTGTGTTAGTACGACTTTGAGAAATTCAATTTAGTACGATTTCAATTGGAGTAAGATGTTTACATGAGTGACAACCTCAGCAACCTTTTTTGTCCATTAGAAAAAGGATTGTTGGATTTAACCTGATACAACACTGTCAAGCTAAAGTACAAATGGTTCCAACATCTGCTCTTTATTCTGTATTGCAAACACACTGCAAAATGGACTGTACTGCGAATTAGTCGAGATAAATTATGCTGATTGGTAATAACATCTCCTTCTATCCATCTCTCAGCTGTCTGTTTTGTCTGTCCTCCCGAGACAAATTTGACTGCACCTCAACCTCTCCCATATCTGTCTGTCAGACCATCCAGCTAGCTATCTGCCTGTCCTTCCATCCTTCCCTGGCTCTGCTGACAGTTCCATCATCCCCTTCTTTCTGTCCGTCCGTCTATCTGTCCAGCCCTAGCTGTGTTGACAGCTCCTCGGTCTCATGCCGTCGCAGTGTTCTGCTCCGTCATGGCCACTGGAGCGACGCCTGCACTCTCTCAGCCGATGGACAGGCAACCATTCTCTCTCATACACACTTTCTTCCCTCAAATTTTCTTTCCCCTCAAAAAGTTTATTTTACCCATTTCCTCACTTGCTGCAGCTCTCAATCTCTCTCTCTCTTTCTGTCATCTGTCTCCATCTCAGCCTCCATAGCTGACCATCTTGTTGCTGGGAAGCTGACAGAAAGGGAGACTGGGAGAGGCAGACAGATAGGAAACATACAATCCCTTGAAGGGCTCTGCTCAGAAAGTCTGCCAGCCAAGCCCAAAGCATCTTTCCCCTCCTCTCCATGTCCCCCATGCTGCGCCTGCACCTAGACTCCATGCCTGCCTGTAATGATGCACCCTCGAAATGGAGGAGCCCAAAACTAACAGCTCACGACTCCCAAAACACGAGAGGTGCACAGACTAAGACAGAGCTAGACGTCGTCATTTGAATTATATATCAACGCCCTACATGAATCTGTTTGAATCTCACAATGAGGAAAACGGAAAGAAACTAATTCGGATTTAGACACGCAGCCAAACATTATCGGGGGCTTTGATGACAAATACACAGAATTCAAGCTTGTATCTCCGACATCATGTTCGCCGAGTCGCAGTCGCTGGAAAAGAAGCCCATTTATGGCGCTTCATACACAGTAACCTCTGTTGGCAAAAACGCCGCAGTACAGCACAGTACAGAGCCCAATCCTTACAAGTAGGTCATGGGGGGGTGGGGACGGGGGGTGCAGCCCATCTGGAGCAGTGCATTCTGAGTAGTTGACTGCAGATGAAGGGAAGGCGGCAAGAGGATGAGAGCGCTGTACTTAAAAACACCCTTTCCGACTCTGTATCTTTTTCTTTTTCCCCTTTGCATTTTTTGGTCTCTTGAACCCTGACTGATTTCACAGAGAAATGTCCTGCCAGGCCACTCCACCTCCTCCCAGGGAGGGAACACGATCAGGTAACATATATCAAAGAGTAGAGGGCATGCGTATGTGAAAATGTGCACAAGGTGCCGAGTGTATTACCTGTGCAGACCTCCTCGTAATTGGGGTTAGGTGTGAAGCCGGCGGCATAGCCAACCTGTGTGGAGAAGACTCCTGGAAGCCTCCAGAAAAATTTCTCAGCTCCCCAGAAGCAGCCCATACCTGGACGTAAACACAGCATGCAAACACACACACACACACACACACACACACAATATCACTGCTTCTGTGCGACCATACTATCCACATATTTTATCAAAAAAACGTGTCAGTAACTACAAACTGGTAACAGAGGATTCCATATTGGGCTCACTCTGATTACAAAAATGTGTGATTGTGCAGTCTCACCAAACATGATGGTCTCCATGCCTTCTGGAAAAGGCTCCACAGTGGGATTCCCATTAACTGCGTGCTTGTCTATAAAGGGAAACAGTGTGTAAATGTGAAATCAAATCATAACACTGTGTTTCAACAGTACAAATTACAGTGTGTATGTAAAGAGGCCCATTAGCGGCCCCAACTAGGCCTCCTAGGTCTGCACTTCGTTATAGGCTGACCCAGGCCAGCGGATCAGAGCCGGAGGCTTCTGTGCTGGAAGACATTTAAGAGATTACACGGCTTTGACCGCCATTCTATCCCCGCTGTCCTCTCCTCAATACCCACAATTAAACACTATCACACAGTTATTTCCTGATCTCTCTCTAACTCCACTACATGTCTTCGAATGTGACTGTATTAAGTGGCTTGGCACCACTGGGTGTCCACAAAGCGAACCAATGACGACACATGAGGGGCACGCGAATGCATAACCTCACGAGCAGGGGAGGGCTTCGCAAGTAGACCCAATGCCATCCTAATCTTCACTTTGTTAAAAATACCCGATAAGTAAAACAAACTGGAGTGCTGAGAGGTGGCAGGGGGGTGGCACTCTACTGCCAACTGTGCTGCATGGAATTAGAGCACTAAAAAGGAAGTGTGTGTCTGTGTGTGTGTGTGTGTGTGTGTGTAGTCCACAGATGTGTGAGGAGGATTAGGGTTTAAGAAGACTGAGGTGACTTAGCGTGCAAATCTCCACTAAGCAAGGCTGGTTTGTACTGCAACCACTAATATTAGTCTACAGATAAACAGGTCACAGGGTACACTAAGAGCTTAGGCACATACCAATAATGGATACTTGCTCTGAGTTCAATGTGCGATTGCTCTCTGGCCGCTCAGAGATGCGATGTGTGACACTGACCTGAATACAAGCAATTTCTAATCTGATAGAGCCGTAATAGTTCATTTCATAGACCCGGGATGATCCCTAGCTGTTACAGGACAGGTTACAGCCCAGTTACCTTCAGGTTTATTCCACATTGAGGGATGACTGTAAAACCAGATTGTACAGAAGCATTGGAAAGAAACAGTGTCTGGACCTTAAAGGGTAACTTTTCTGAGTATTATTTTGGTTCTGTCAACATTGAATAAAGTGTATTTGATGATAAAATGACTGTTTATTTAAATGGAGTCTGGTATGATGTGGGTGAGGACGCTTCCAGTAGTAGTAGTAGTTCTACTAAATTTGTGCTAACTTTAGGCTCTTATGTCTATTTTGCATGTCTTGGTGGTGCTTTTTGTGGTTGGCTTTGGATGGCGGTGACCTGTGGCTGCAAGTCAGGAAATCAGCTCACAAGCCTGTAAACTCTCCTCCTGCTGACCTCTAGCTAGTTCCTCCCTAGCCAGGCAAGGTTCTGAAATGTGAACATCAGAAAACATAAAAGAAAAGACAGGGAAGATGGCACCAGCTTAACCAGCATCCTGTTAGCCATTGTACCAGTGTTGCAAAATAAACTGGATGACCTCCGTGCCGCATCAGGGGGCTGCTGCTCTCCCTGCCTTAGGCTTTCCATGTGGGCGCATGGAAGGGCAGGGAGGTTTACTCGCTCTGCCTCAGGCTTTCCTCGTTTGCACGTGGAAGGGCAGAGAGGTGCCTTGAGTCTTTCAACATAGGTGCTGGGAAGAGGGTTTCTGTGTTGGCCTAGGAAAGGCAGAGAGGCCCCAGAACAGAGCCATACTGCCAAATATAATACTGCAAATGGAAATAAAGTTTTCTTTAAAGGTTGATGTCTGTAGGGATCCTTTCCATAATGTTTTCTGACAATTGTCAGAGGAGAGAAAACAAGCACTTTCAGTCAATTTAAACTGACGGTGCACAAATGCCCTGAGAGGTTACATTGCAGCCTTTTGTGCCACTGCCAGCTGCAGCATTCTCAGTCAAAACTGGACCAATTTTAAAAATCGTTGCTCCCATTTGTCACTTAAATGCCAAAATACAGGAAAATAGGGTCAAGCCCAGAAAATACTGAAGTCACCCTTTAAAGATTAACACGTGTTTTGAAGAATACAGGAAGTAAAAGAAGCACCACAGCACTTGAGCTGATAACATCTGTGTTGGTGTGCCACCTTAAGGGCACTTTTTGATATTAGACAAAATTGTTTGGTTTCTCTGTTCAGTAACAGATTGCAGAAGCATAAAGGACTCCGAAAATGTCACAGAGGCCTGGGCTGCCTTCAGGCTGTCCCTTCCTGCCCTCCTGTTGTGCGACAGTTCTGTCTTTTAGCAGCAGGTTGTTTGGCGCTGCCAGGTCATGTTCACGGGCACAGTCAACTGCAATCAAAGTGTATCTGTGTCAGTGACTGTGCTGGCTAAATATTCTCAGTCCACAGGGGTAACTTAAGGTCGTGGGAGCACAGAAGAAATCTTCATCCTTTCTCCTGCGAATCTGTTTAGTCTCCATCCTCTGCTCACACTCGCCTCTTGTCCTGCATTTTCTGGCCACGGAGATAAAAAGTAGTGAAGTTGCCAAATGACGGAGAGAGAAAATGTGAGAGTGAGAGAGAGACAAGTGTGCGATAGAGGAGGAGGAGTGGGAGGAGGAGAGATCAGCCTGCCAAAACAATAAAAGGAGTAAATAGCCAGTGAGAAGCAACAGATGAGGGTAGCAGAGAGGCAGTGAAGGATTCTTTTGGCTTTCAGACCACCATGCCTTTGGGCGCTATATAAAAAGACCAAGCACTCCGTCCAAGAGAGAACACAGAGAAAACAAACAAGCAAACAAATAAACAAACAAAAAAAAAGAGAGGTAAAAATGAAGACAGCCAAGAACACACCGACACAGCACTGTCCAGAGAAGTGAACTCCGAGCCAACTCCCCGCAACCCCCTCCCTTGCCCTCTCGTCTCTCCATCTTCACTTCACACTCTCATCCTCACACCACCTTCCCAGCATCCCTCACTTTCCTCTCACACGTGCACAGCCTCTTGCACGCACGCAGGCACGCAATCAGCCGCACAATCGCTCACGCACCGAACTCTGTTGTGGGTATTTCTCCCATGGAGCAGCTGGCAGAGGTCCAGGTGGTGCCAGGCTGGCTCCTTTCACTGTGCCTAGCCCAGCATTCCCCCCTGCCAGCCCAGCGCCCACACCCCATTCTGCCAGAATTACCCCACCTAACACAGAGAAAGAACTGGCTGAATACCCTCACTACGCTGCCTCACTACGCCAGCAAAAGAAAGAACAGAGGATGACAAAAAACAAGCAGGGAGGGTGACTGACTGAGTTTACAAAAGAAGAAAACAGGCTGAATATGGGGGAAGGACTCATGAAAAGGATTTTTTTTCCCAACTTGAATGAGATATGGGCGTAATTTCTTTTGTGCGCCTTTGTTTTCGAGGATATCTGGAAAGCGCAGTGCAGGCTATGCAGTACAGCGGGACTGAAACGGAATACTTTGGTCACCTTTTGTTGCTTTTAGGATGGTGGTTGTAGGCGGCTGGACCAGAACCAAAACATCGGACCCTGCCGCCCTGCTTGTATTATGGCTACCATCAGTCGAGGGCACAACAATCTATCTGTTGCTTAGCGGATAATAACGTCCAGTTTGACTTGTTTCGGATGGTATTTAGTCTTTGTTACCCTTCGATTCTACCCGTGGGTCCTGTGTTTCTCACCCGTAAAACTGAAGTCCAAGCGCTGCTGCCCCCTCATGCAGAGACACGGGAGAGGTACTATCCCTGGATGCCAAAACTGGTGACGGAAAGGTCGATTTCCAGGCTGCTCTGTTTATTTCCTTCCAAAAAAAATCCATTCTCTCTCTTTCCCTCTCTCCCTCTCTCTCTTCCAGTTCCCTCCCTCTCGCCATTCCTCTTTCTAGCTTCACACAGGTTGGCAGAGAGTCAGGCACGAGTCGTCGGAGGAGGCTGAAGCTTTATACTGGTGCCAACTACCCTCTGCTGTATGGGAGGATGGGTAGGGGCGAGAAAGAGTGGGGCAAAGGAGGGGAGGGGAGGAAAGAGGCGAGGCTGGTGGGAGGTGGTCGATTTTTAAAAAACAGCGAGAGGTAAGTAAAAGAGATGATGCTGCTGCTGTGGCCTTAAAAACAATCAAGCCAACTCCACTCAACACATGCATTTAAAGCCGCCTCTATTCAGGGTGGGGAAACTGTCTAGACTCTGAAGAGTACAACTTTGAAGCCATCCATGCATTCTATACATACTGTAGCCTAGCAACGGAAACAGTTGCTATGGAGAGGACTACCTACTATAGCACTGGCTCCATTATCCCCTTCCAGCAAGATGGAGGCACATCCTGTTGGGGCCTACATTAATATTTCTTACTCAAACACAGATCTCACGAGGATAGAGGGGGATGATATCCACCTGGTGTGCACAAATTAATAAATGCATCCTGTTTTTAACCTACTTAGTAAAGGGAAATTACACCAAAAAATCCCTTAACTCTCTGTTCTGCAGATAAACCAGAGCAAATCTAATTTTCTATATTGCTTATACTCTTCAGTGTCACAGGGGGCTGAAGTCGATCCCAGCATGCACTGGCAAAGATGCAGGATACATTATTCAATTCACCTACCTGACTATGGTGAAGAAAACTCACACACACATAGGAAGATCATATAAACTTCACATTTCAGGTTGGGTCAGAACACAGAACGTTCTTGCGCTGAGGCGACAGTCCTAATCAGTAAGCCACAGTGCTGCCCATGAGCAAATCTCGCACATTTATTTATCTACCGTTTGCATTCTTAATTTGCATGCTTCCCCATTTACTTCCAGCTTTTTCTTCCCCCTTTGAACTTATTACAAAAGCCAGAAAAGCAAGGGCATCTGGAGACAGCAGAGATGGGAAAACAACTGAGCAACAATGCCAGAAATATATCTTCGCCATGAACCTGCTTTGAAGAGTTATAGCGAAGCATGTAACAGAGATTGATTTTGGTCAGCTGACCTCCCCCCATCCTGTTTGGAAGAAATATTGGCAGTCTATCCTGCACTGACTCAAAATAATAGCTACTGTGCCCCTACCATGTAGCAATCTGCCACTGGATCATTCTCGCCAAGGTCACAGAGTACATTATACA